CACTGTCTGGCCGTTTATATACAACGGCCGGTCGGGAAGTGGTTAAAAGCATTTTTTGGTTACTACTTTAGACTTATACAGGAGGTCTAGTGCTAGAATTACTGCCCTCAATCTGACAATGGCGCATGCATTCGCCTCTGTGCGTAAGCATGGTTGATGGAGGCATTTTAAAAAAAATCTTTTTAATCAGTCGCTAGGATTGCTTTTACAAGAAAGCTAACCACCAGCTGAAAAAAACAATATCGAGGTGATGTCTGCAGCTGCAGGCATCTTCCTAGGATAACCACTTGAAGTCCAGCCACATACTAGTATGGAAGGACATACGTATTACAGTAAAAATATGATTTCATGGAAAATATAATATAATATAAATATAAGTAAATCCCTAAATGTTTGTTATATCCTTTATGTTATATGATATTATTAGGCATACTGTCTACCTTTTCAGTATTACAGTCACCCAATCATATTATGAAAGAGAGGAGTAGTCTTTTCCTTGACACATTTTGCAGTAATGTTTTTTTAGGAGGTTAAAGGGAGGTTAATATTGCACAATTGCCCTTACGGCCATCAAATAAAGGATTCGGTGAGACAATTAGTTCCCCCTCAGTGGAAGGATCTTGGATATTTTTCAAAGTCCAAGGTTTGTGAGCATGCAAAAGGTCTATTTGATTCACAAAGTGGGTGCCTATTTAGAGTACAGATATAAGTGTAGAGCCACCTAAGAGAGTGACCGCGGATTACTAGCAACATCCAGCGGGTGGAGGAATATCTGGCGTGACCTGACCTTTTGAAGCTACCAGTGGATCTAGTGGAGATAATTTATCTCTAAATGTGCAGTAACACTGTGCATCTGGTGAGTGCACAGCCTTATCCTTTTCACGTTCACTGCATGGAAGCAGCACTTTGAAGGAGAAAAATTGTCACAAAGACTGTTTTTGCACCGCATGTTACTCTGCTTGTGATATAATTATTTTTATAATTTTTTGGGATCACATTAGTCACTTAACCACTATATATCGATATCTTGGACGTTTTATTTAAACATTTGTGTTATAGCGCCGCATCCTTATATTTCAGATATAAGTGTTTGTCTGTCTGTCAAGTTGGTATCTTTTTGTTGGACATTATCAGCACATGATGATCCCAAATTTACTCCCAAAGAGTGATGATAGTACCCAACACAACAACTTGGCAGACAGACAGCCATTTACTGTATATCTGTGCTTGTTAAAGAAACCTGCTTTGGGAATATTCAAATAGATTTTTAGGCATGCTCAGGGGTGCTTCCACTGCCCCTTGTGGGAGGCACAACTGGTTTGCTGAAACCTCTTTTTGATAGTTGGATGGGCAATTGTGCAGTGTTAACCTCCTTTTATCCTCCTGAAGAAACATTATTGCGAAAAGCAATTTCATCATATGACTGGGTGCCTGGAATACTGGAAAGATGGATACTATGCCTTATACTATGATATAGTAATATTAAGATATGTAGAGGATTAGTCATCTAGAGAAGGCTGTTTTGTTCAACATTCAAGATGTATGTTTATTGTAAGGCCCCTTTCATGTGATTGGTCCATTTGGGTCCTCCTGTCAGTATTCCATGTGGACCTGATTGGACCCTCCATGGAGTGGAGGGTGTTAACGGACTTGTGTCTGTTTATACCCACTTAACTTGAATCTGATCCGATATAAAAAAAAAATGGAAGGGTATCTGTTCCACTCTGTCTGGGCAGATTAGATGGGATTTACACCCGACCGCCCATAGAGCAGAGCAAGCTGTATCTGTGTCTGCTGTGCATAAGCAGAAAGGACACAAATCTTCATCCGCCTTCTCTGCTCAGAAGGGGATCAACGGACAGATCCCCTGCTGAAAAGGGCCTAATAAGTATGACCTTTTATATGTTATAAGGAATTTTAATAAAATTGTGTTACTTTAAAAGTGTCAACTAATAGATAAAAAGTATACTCACAGGCCGCTATATTAGCCACACCTTGGAAGTACCAGGTTGGAACCCCTTTTGCCTTCAGAACAGCCTTAATTCTTTGTTGCATAAATTCAACAAGATGTTGTAAACATTCCTCAGAGATTTTGGTCCATATTGACATGAGTTACTGTTACCTCTTGAACCAGTCTGCCCACTCTGACATCAACAAGGCATTTTTGTCCATACAACTGCCACTCACTGGATATTTTGTTCTTGTTTGGACCATTCATTGTAAAACCTAGAGATGGTTGTGCATGAAAATCCCAGTAGATCAGCAGTTTTTGAAATACTCAAAACAGCCCTTATGGCACCAACAACCATGCCACGTTCAAAGTCACTTAAATCCCCTTTCTTCCCCATTCTGATGCTCAGCTTGAACTTTAGCTAGTCATTTTCCCCACGTCTACATGCTTAAATGAGTTGCTGCCATGTGATTAGCTGATTAGCAATTTGTGTTTACCAAGCAATTGAACAGTGTACCTAATAAAGTGGCTACCGAGTGTTTAATGACAATTTTGTGTTAGGTGTAGTCGTTTGGCCCCTCAAAATTCCTTAGGCATTCTGGTACATAATTTAGGTAACATTCAATACTATTTTAATAATATGATAACATATACTTATATCAAAATTGCTATGTGTTAATGAATGGAATCAGACAAGGTTAAAATATATCTTTAATGTTCCGAATTAAAAATGTGCTTGCAGGTAAAGAACAAAGATATGCAAAGAAGAGAGCTATTTCACTGTGAATCGGTAGGCCAAGTGTTCTGTAATGAGTTCTATCCTCTTTGGAACTCCCAGAATCCATCATATGGACAAACAGAAACCATGCATTGGGGTCCTCATCTGTTCTGGGAAAATGTCACAGCTGAGATGATAAATTATGACAATGGACAGCATGCTTCTGACAGCTATGATGGTTTTGCATGTGTGAGTGAGTTCCTGCTGAAACTCACAAACCAAGAAAGACTAGAATTTCAGCCAAGTATTGATAATGAGCGTTTTAAATGTGTGAATTCTAAACATGGACTGGTGGTGGTAGCTGTTACTGGAACCATTTTAAGAGAAGGAAGATCCTTTGGCATTTTTGAACAGACGTTTGGACTAATTCAGTGCCCGCAAACAAAGAGTTTAAAGATTAAATTTACTAAACTTAAGACTAAATACTTTAATCATATGGAGAATTCCATTACTGCCCCCCCCCTGGATTATACCACAGAGCAGTTGGAGAATATGTGAAAAACAATAATTACCGCAGACCGTTGTGGCGTGAAAGGGTCCTTAGGCTAGGGCTACATTGGTGAATATCTTGCTACTAACAGATTTAAAGCAGAACTAAAGGCTTAGTACTCACCTGTCTCACAGTCCTGCACCAGCACTGGCTTCTTCTTCTGAGTGCCAGTTTTTGGGTCTTTCCATTGCCCGATGGGGGATAACATCACACCTGTACATGCACAGGAGCTATTTGTCCCAGCCCGATTCTGTAAGCTGAGCTGCGTGTGCACAGCTCAGTTTACAGTGCAGGAGAAGACATTGATTAGGCACGTAAGGGCATTTTATTCCTGAAAAGATAGTGAATGTCTCTTTCTCAATAAAAGCCTGTCTCCCTGTAATTTCTTACAGCAGAACTTCAGTTCCGCTTTAACTATTCACCTGAATAGTCTAGAGCAGGGGTGGGGGCAAACTTTTTGACTTGAGGGCCACAATGGGTTCATATATTGGACCCGGGGGCCGGACCAAGAGTAGATGAATGATGTGTATGTGTCATCCATAGTAAGTATAGTAATATTCCCCCATAGTAAGCATAGTAATTAATCCCCCATATAGTAATTCATCCCCCATATAGTAATTCATCCCCCCATAGTAATTCATCCCCCATAGTAATTAATCCCCCATATAGTAATTTATCCCCCATAGTAATTCATCCCCCATAGTAATTCACCCCCATAGTAATTAATCCCCCATATAGTAATTCATCCCCCATAGTAATTCATCCCCCATATAGTAATTCATCCCCCATAGTAATTCATCCCCCATATTAATTCATCCCCCATAGTAATTAATCCCCCATATAGTAATTCATCCCCCATAGTAATTCATCCCCCATATAGTAATTCATCCCCCCTATAGTAATTCATCCCCCATAGTAATTCATCCCCCCTATAGTAATTCATCCCCCCTATAGTAATTCATTCCCCATATTAATTCATCCCCCATATTAAGTCCCCAAGTCCCCCCTGTGTCAATTTACTTACCTTTGCTCCGCACGTTCCTCTCGCCGTGTTCCAGTCTTCAGGGCGGACTGTGAGAGAAGCCTAGCTCCCCTCACGTTCGTCACGCTGCCCTGCCTACACACATCCTGACAGCCATCCTGACAGTATCACGCTCTGCGGGCCGGATTAAAAGGTTCGCCGGGCCGTATACGGCCCGCGGGCCGTAGTTTGCCCATTGCTGGTCTAGAGCTATGCTGGAGATATTTAGTAGCTCAATCTTTATACTGAAACTGCTAGTGGGTTAGATGTTAGGTGTAGCAAATGATGGAAAAGCAATTGGAACAAATGGCTTACCATGGTGTAGAATGCACACAAAGCATGTAGTAGCCATCTGTAGCTCCCAACGTTCACTGATTTCGAGGGACTATCCCTGATTTGGAACAAAATCCCTGTGTCAATCTTTCCTAGAAATTAACTCATTAGCAATTTTAGTAGCAGGATTGAACTGTGTAAACTCGTCTGTGTGGGGCTGCTTAATTGGAGTGGGTGGCCCTGCTATGTTCTACAAAATTCAATAGTACAGCCCACCTTTGGCAAAGAAGCCTGCTGGAAAATTTTTGGCTGAACAGCGGCTACACCTGTTCAGGTATTCTGTCATACTTTCAGAATACAATAGCCTAGCAGAGGGTTTAGCTCGAATCATACTCTATAGCATGGACAGAAGAATTTGTTGGACATCTTCCATTCAGAATGCAGGCCAAATAAAAGAAATTTACCAGGGCATGGCCAGCTTAACTCTAGACTATTTAGTCCGTTGCCTACCCCCACCCAGTAAAAGACTGAGGTTAAAGAGTAGCCTTGGTCTAAAAAAAACATTGCAGCCTGACTTTATGCATTTGGCGACAGTTTGCTCTGTTCTATAAAGCTACTAGTGATGTTCTGTTATAGTTTATAAGACACTTTACAATTTGTTAGAATGGTATGAGGGTAATATTCTTCTGGAGCTTCCACCAGCCTACAAATTCTTTCAGAAACACAAACCCTTTTTTAATGAGGCTTGTGTTGCCTAAACTGCCAGTTCAGGTCTCTATACAGTCTAAAACTAATGTGGAACATTTTCTTGGATTCAGAACCAAAGAATCAATAGTAAGAAAAAAAAAACATTGTACATATTATTGATTCCATGTAGCAGGAATGTGTCACTCTTGTGAGACAAAACCAATATAAATCTTTTATTAAAAGGGGAAAAATAAATACATAAAATGTGAACTCCTGATCTCTACAACCAGCAAAGCCACTTTCAGCCCTTTCACTGCCAGAGCTGTTTTTGCATTTATTTTGCACACATGCTGAAAAAAATCACTTTAGGCCTGAAGATTACATAAAATCCCCCAAAAGTTATATATTTTCTGAAAGCAGACACCCTAGAGAAAAAAATAGTGGTAGTTCAGATTTTGTATGTCTCGCGATATTACTGCAAAGGTCTAGGAAACACAAAATTTCAGTAAAAAATAGGGCACACAAACATAAAAGATGAGATAACACCAGGTAAATAGATACCACACATGTCAAACCCTAAATTTGCGTACTCCCGTGAAATGGTGACAAACTTCAGTGCTCTATATATTTCCTTAGGCAACACTTTAAAAGCCCCCTAAAGGTCCTCAATTTAACGTTACGGGGGAGGTCTCGTACTTGAAATATTGCCTTCACTCTGACATGCACAGCAATGTGTTGCATGTGTATCACAATAGGCGCCCCTGACACACACATCTATGTTTGTATGTGCGTATATGTGGGGGTAGGGAGCCTCAAAAAATTTGGGGGATTTTATGTGCTTGGGTGTAACTTTAATTATTACAAATGTGTGTTGATTTTTTTTGGTGAGAGGTTTTCTTTAATGGCTTTCCTGTTCTCCACTAAATGTAATGCAATGCAGATCGCGTTGCAATACATTCTTTCCTGACCATGTACATTGCTCCTGGGTCAGCAACAAGGATGGGAGGAGAGTGGATGTGTGTCTGGGGGGTTGCGACATTTACCTTGGGTTTGTGGAAGGTAATTGAAAATGGGGATTTAGACTCTTGTCTCTTAGTTACTATTACTCTATATTGTGCTGCCACATAGAGACCTTTGTAGGAATGTCTCCAATGCAGCTCTGTACTGCCTGCCTGTTATAGATTGTCTTATGCTTGTTATATACCCCTTTACCATATTATTGACACTGTAAATCTATCAGGACATCACAGTGGCTAAATGGTTAGCACTTCTGCCTGGCAGCAATAGGGTCTTTGTTTTGAATCCCAACCATGGTACCACCTGTTTGGAGTTTGCATGTTCTCCCTGTGCTTGTGTGGGGTTTCCTCCAGGTACTCCCATTTCCTTCCACACTTCAAAGACATACTGGGAGGTTAATTGGCTCCTGTCTAAATTGACCATAGTATATGTAGGTGTGAATGTGAGTTAGGGACCTTAGATTGTACACTCATTGAGGGTTAGGGACTGATGTGAATGTATAATCTATATATGTAAAGCACTGCGTAAATTGACAGCTCTCTAAAAGTACCTGTAATAAATAACAAATAAAATCTTGCAATCATACAAAAAACTTCAAGTTACACATTACTGTGTGTCTGATCATTTGGTTGAAACTTAGAGAAGCAGCACAAGGAGCCAATAAGCTGTTCTGCATTCTGATAGGAGGTTATAGCAGAGTGAAAGAGGGATGCGTTTATCTGATACTATTCCTTTTTACTGTCCTGTGACAGGCTGGAGGTGGGACAAGACCTGAAAGTGTTACTAATTTACAGTAGAAAAAAAATCAGGTCTCCTACCCTGCCAGACAAATCCATTGGCAGGTAACTCCCTTCTTTAAAATTGTTTTTGTTTTTTTTGTTTATTATTATTTGTACTACTTATTTATCCAGTGATTTAAGACATTACTTGACAAAGTATAAATGGAGATACCAGCTATAAAAATTAAAAGGAGACACACCAAGTGACATTTTAACTGAAAAAAAAGACATGTATTGTCTTAAACAGTGATAAAAACAGTGTATGCATCAGTAGGATAACCACTGGAAGACTGTAAGCACACAAAATTAAATGTCATGGATCATACAATCTCAGGAAAGAACACATATGACGACACAGCAGAGGAGAAAGTAGTCCATTCAACCCAAGAGGATTCAATTTTATGTCAGATCATAGGCATTAAAGCAGATATATGTGCGTCACTAAAAAATCCAACCATATCAGCAAAGCTGCAAATAGAAATTTTAGTCAACAATTAAATGGAATGGCATTGCAACCTCACTTGTTGAAGTAAGCAATCTTAGGAATAGACACATTTTCTTCAGGCAATGTAAGGCAATGGATTTGCAGTGTCCTGTTTCACTGTCCTGTTGAGATCACGTGAAGGTATTTATCCAGTCAATCACAGGCTAACCTGCATCCAAGAGTGCATTCATCTTTCTCTATAGCTACCAGCAAACATTTACAGCGTGGCAGCCCACCCCACCCCACCAAAAATCCATCCTACATATCTGCTTATCAATCGTTTTTACCATGCTAACACATACATTGGATTACTAGGGGTCTGTTTCTACAACTTTAGAGATAAATAAATACTGCAAACTGTGTTTCAACAGGAAAACTGAAAGCAGAATTCTGAGGCCAAGTCATAGCTGACCTATGGTGTGGCCTGTAGGAGATATGATCAAACCAGAATAGGACAATGTGCCACCTGACCCATTTCCAGTGCAAAAGTCAGTAGGCCTAGTATTAAAGAATTAGGTGAGTCAGAAGGAGAAATGGCAATTGAATGGAGGACTGAAAGTCTTAAAAGTTAAATGCATAATGAGGTGTGTGATAAAATGGACACCAATGGGGGGAGTGTGGCCTGCCAGGGACCAAGATGGCTGCCCTATCCTGCAGCTCTTCTACCATGTAGACGTATAGCGACACATAGCAACTTCTCTGCACTTTTATTTTAGCACCAGAGGGGATCCATTGCTTGGTACACCTGATGGGCACCTCCAGCATGAAGGGGAAATCCACTGCTCCACACTACCTCATGGAATTCTTTCCTGCCGTGGCCTCACAAGCATCCGATTGCAGACACAAGGCTTTCCCCCGTCTCATAATATTATGACAGCATGGAGGAACAGGACACCAGGGGCGGACTGACAACTCATGGGGCCCCCGGGCAATAGGGGATCATGGGGCCCCTGTGTCCTTGCCCAAACTCAAAAAAGCCTATGAAAAAGGTACCAGGGGCATCTCATGGGGCCCCTTACTGACCCCGGGCCCTCGGGCAGTGCCCGAGTTTCCAAATGGTAAGTCCGCCCCTGCAGGACATGGTGACTGTGCTCACTGAGCCATTCTCACATTCAGCAGGAGACAGAGGTAAGAGGTCTGCACCAACACTAGCACAATCTCCAGGTAAGGCCCCACAATACAAGAAGCAGCTGTGCTGTGTTAACAATCAGGCTATTATAGATGAAGAAAGCCATGATTCCTTAGCAGCTGTCCCAGCAGGAGACCAGCCAGCATCAGAGCACACAGTTAAGCATAAGATGTGAATGTACAATATATAGGTGTAAAGCGCTGTGTAAATTCACGGTGCTATATAAGTACCTGTAATAAATAAAAAATAAAATAAAAATGCTGATTACACTGCAAAAAAGAGATTCAGAGGGAGTTGTGCTCTTCCGCCTCTCATCTCGGAAACAGGATGGACCAAGTGGAAGAACGCACGGATGAGTTAGAAAGGCAACTCCAGACCAAAGTGTATAATGAGCTGGTATATGCGTTTGACCAGAAAACTCAGAAACTACATGCTATACAGGCCAACCTGGCCGATTTCAAAGACAGATTGCTCCAAAATAGCGTCAAGTTTGGGGGGTTACCTGAATCAATCAAGTCCTCTGATTTGACAACTTACCTTCATCAAATGTAGTGAAAAAACCTTACGCGCTAATATAGATCAAATTACAAGTGCATCTATAGGTGTATCAAAATAGCACACCCAATATATATAAATATCTGCTATAACACAAAAAACCCTGTCTCATATGTGGGCAAAATCAATAAATAAAAAAATCAATAAATAAAAAAATCACTTACAGTATTCACTATTTTTTATTTATTTATGTTTTGATGTGTAGCGCTGCACAGTATTACTTTTTACCTTCATCATTTGTTCCTCAAGCTCCTACTGTATTTTACCACTGCAGATTGGATTATAGATCATGTTCATAGGATCCTCAAACCTTCACATTTACCTGCAGACATTTCCCATGATGTGTTGGCATGCGTACACTTCTATCACGTTTCTTGAGACACTGACAAGCCAGGGCAGTACAAATACCCCCCAATGACCCCTTTTTAGAAAGTAGACAGTCCAAAGTATTTAGTAAGAGGCATAGTGAGTTTTTTGAAGTTGTAATTTTTTCCCACAATTCTATTGAAAATGAACATTTTTCTTTTTTTGTTCTACAAAATTGGAATATTATTTCTCCCACATGGCAAATGCATACTTGCAACTACACCTCAAAAACACGTTATGCTACTCCTCCTGAGTATGGGGATACCACAAGCATGAGACTTTTTTACAGCCTAGCCACATAGAGAGGCCTAACATGCAAGGAGCACCATCAGGTGTCCTAGGGGGTATAAATTACACATTTAATTTCTTGACTACCTATTACAATTTTGAAGGAACTGGAGCACCAGGACAATAGAATTACCCACAAAATGTTCTATGAGGCATAATGAGTCTTTTGAACATATCATTTTTTTACACAAGTTTTCAGAAAATGTGGAAAGAAAATGAAAACGTATTTTTTTACACAATGTTGTCCATTTATAAGATATTTCCAACACATAGCATGTACATATGAAAAATTACACCCCAAAATACATTCTCCTACTTCTCCTGAGTATGGGGATATCACATGTGTGAGACTTTTCTACAGCCTGGCCACATAGAGAGCCCCAACATCTAAGTAGCACCTTTAGGCCTTCTAGGGGCAAAAATTACACATCTAATTTCTTGACAACCTATCATGTTTTTGAATGCCTTGGAGCACCCAGGCAGTGGAAACACCCACAAAATTACCCCATTTTGGAAAATAAACACTCACCAACGTATTTTTTGTGAAGCATAATGAGTCTTTTAAACATGTCATTTTTTTCCACAAGTTTTCGGAAAATGTGGAAAGAAAATGAAAATGTTTTTTTTTTTGCACAGTCGTCCATCTATAAAGTTTTCCATTTATAAGATATTTTCAACATATAGCACGTACATACAAAAAATGACACCCCAAAATACATTCTGCTACTCCTCCTAAGTATGTGGATACCACATACGTGAGACCTTTCTACAGCCCGGCCACATGGAGAGGCCCAATATTCAAGTAGCCACAATGTATTTTCTAAAAGGCATAATGAGTCTTTTGAACATTTAATTTTTTTCCACAAGTTTTCGGAAAATGTAGAAAGAAAATGAAGAATGTATTTTTTTTAACACAAAGTTGTCATTCTATAAGTTATTTATAACAAATAGCATGGACATACCAAGAATTACACCCTAAAATACATTCTGCTACTCATCTTGATTATGGGGATACCACATGTGTAAGACCTTTTCAATGTCTGTACAGATTAAGTGCCCAACATTGCAACAAGTGTAACACAAAAATCAATGCTGTTTAGAAAACAATGTAAACAAAAGATTACCTGTTGTTTGAGGAGAGCATTGGTCCAGGTCAGTTCAGGCAGCAGGCTGACATCCAGGCAGCAGGCTGGAACAAGGTCCATAAAAAGTCTTGGGTCAGTACAGGCAGCAGGCAGATATATGGTCAGCACAGCCAAAGTAAGGTTAAGGCAGCAGGCAGGAACATGGTCCATAAAATGTCCTGGGTAATTTCAGGCAGCAGGAAGAGATATGGTCAGCACAAAGTTTGTTAAGGCAGCAGGCAGGAACATGGTCCATAAAATGTCCTGGGTTATTACAGGCAGCAGGCAGAGATATGGTCAGCACAGCCAAGGTATTTGTCCAGGCAGCAGGCAGGAATATGGTACATAAAATGTCCTGAGTCATTGCAGGCCGAAGGCAGAGATATGGTCAGCACAGCCAAAGTTTTTGTCCAGGCAACAAGCAGGAACATGGCCCATAAAAGGTCCTGGGTCATCACGGGAAGTAGGCAGAGATATGGTCAGCACAGCCAAAGCATTGGTCCAGGCAGCAGGCAGGAACATCAGGCTTAGGGCCTCGGTCAGGTAGGACCAGTGCACAGGGGTAGAGGCTTTGTCCCACCCAATCTCTTCTAATCCTCTGGACAGACCCGGAGGACATTACAAAACTCAAAGAAAACCAAAAAACTGTTTTACTCTACTCAGAACTCTACTCTGAAGTCTCTCACATATGTGAGACCCCTGTGTTATCTTGAATCTTACTACTACAGTAGCAGGGCAATCCAAATGACAGGCAAAAAATATGGTCCATTAACAGGCCAAGGTCAGTCCAGGAAAGAGGCATAAATGTGGCTGATAATCCAGACAGCAGGCAGAAGCATAGTAGATAAACAGGTCAGGGTCAGTTCAGGTGGAAGGCAGAAACGTGGTGGATAAGCAATGCAAATGTCAGGCAAAGACATAGTCAATAAATAGGCCGGGTCAGTAAAGGTAGAAGGCAGTAGTATGGTTGAGGCAGCAAGAAAATGATCAGCAGAGATATTGAAACAGGGAAATGGCAGGCTGCTATTTTATTGACGTGTGAAATTGTGCAGTCTCCGATGCACAGGATTGGTTGGGAGGGACATAGGGGACAATGAAAAGTTTTATCTCTTCTAATTCCTTCTCTGCTGCATACCTGACATCTTTTTTGTCATCTTTGACCTGCTTCTGTTGATGGAATGCTCTTAGGGAAGTGAAGCTCATGAAGTCTGCTCATAGAATCGAAACAAATGCTTTCTGGGGGGATCCTTGTTAACAGATAAGGGACATGACAATTTCTTATATAAATTGAGGAAGGTGGTGGATCTTTCTGTGGATTTGGTGTAGGTGACATACGCATTATATAAATAGGCAAATTAATAAAATATATTGAAACTTTTTTATACCAGAAATGGGACCTTTTTGTTGCTAAATAGGGCTGCAACACCTGATTGTTGAAATCCACCCCCCATGTAGAGAATATAATCTTGGATGTCTGCAGGATTTTGAATGGGACCGTGTCTTCCAGTAATTTCCACCAAGGTGTCCTTGTGGATGTTGTACAGGATGTAAATGTCTCTCTTATCCTTCCACTTCAGGGCCAGTACTTCATCATTTCTTAGGCTTGCTGATTCCCCCCTTTGTAGCCTAGTGTTCACTGGAGCTTGTGGGAAGCCCTTCCTGTTTTTTCGGAAGGTACCACAGGCTAAGGTTTTCTCTCGGTACAGGTGTCGGAAAAGGGGCAGACTGGTATAGAAATTGTCCAGATAAATGTGATAGCCTTTTTGGAAAAGTGGATAAGCCAGGTCCCAGACAATTTTTCTAATTGTTGCAATGTAGTTTGGGCTTTCAGGGGGCTGGAGCTGGGAATCTTTGCCTTCATATATGTGGAATGCATACAAATATCCCGTGGCTCTTTCACAAAGCTTGTAGAGCTTTACCCCATATCTGGCTCTTCTACTTGGAATATATTGATTAATTCCTAGCCGGCCAGTGAAGTGGACAAGGGATTCGTCTACACGCGTTTTTATCGGGGACAAGAAGTTCAGTAAATCTTTGGGGGAAAAAAATTAAGAAGTGGGTGAATTTTGTATAATTTGTCATAGTTGGGATGATCTCTGGGAGGGAACTGAGTATTGTCACTGAAATGCAGGAGTCACATAATCATCTCATAGTGTGACCTGGGCATTACAGCAGAATAAATTGGCATGTGGTGGATTGGGTATGTGGACCAGTACGCATGTCTTTCATTCTTTTTTGTAAACCCCATGTTAAGGGTGAGGCCCAAAAATAACTTAATTTCCTCCAAACTAAGAGGTCTCCATTCAGTAGGATGGACATAGGATGAACTGGGGCTGTTAGTAATGAATTATGTGGCATAAAGGTTTGTCTGGTCCACAATAAGCTGAAGTAAAGTGTTGGGCAAAAATAAATACTTGATGAGTTGGAGGGTAACCATAATGGGTTGGCAAGAGCATCTGGGAGGTATGTTTGTGCCCTGATTCTTGGGGGTTGATGAAATATTCCAGTGCTGGTACTGGGTCATTCATCTATGGGTCTAGCACCATTGGAGTTTGCCGATTGACCATTGGGGTGTATTGCACTGTTAGTGGATGCCTGGTTTTCAGGGCGCG